CTTGTCTTGAACAAACATTCTTTTCCTATGTTAAAAACACACTTCTGATGGCAAACAAAAGTGTGTTTGGTTTGGCTGTGGCTCAGAGCAAGATGGTGGTTTGATCGCAGGTTCCCTCACTGAACTCAAAATAGCACTAATTTCCAAATCAACCACTCACTTGGTGTAAAATGCTTTATTAGTTTGTAGAACAAAATTCTGCATAAATACAGTCCATTTAATCTATACCTAACACAATAAATATGGAAATTTGTGTTTGTAGATTTTGTCTTTGTTGTAACAAATTTTTGGTAATCTTATACCATTAGGAAGTTAATTTCCCTTTTAAATGGTGCCACATTTGTAAGGAACATGCATTTGTGGAATGAGCAGTAAAGTTGAGTATGTGAGTTGCACAAATTAAAGATTTGCCAAATCTACTCTGCCAGACTGCTGTGGATATTGACACTAGTTTTGAGCTTATGGTACCTCCAGGAGCTTCCAATCAGGTGCCAGTTTGGCAATCTCAGTTTAGAGATTAAGATGTAATTCTGCAGCCAGTGGCAATCCCATATCTCCACAGTCTGGGATTGAGGACTCTAAGATGAAAACACTCACCCCCACTGAGTGTGGTTTATCGGAGACTGTCAGAATTTGGGAGTGGAAACGATTCAACCCTATTGAAGACTTGTGGGATCAGCTCGGGCACGCTGTTTGTGCCAGAGTGACCAGCACAACAATGTTAGCTGACTTGATACAAATGCTGGTTGAAGAATGAGATGCCATCCCACAGCAGTGAATGACCAATCTGGCGACCAGCCTGAAGAGCAGGTGCCAGGCTGTTGTGGCTGTGTATGGTTCTTCCACATGCTACTGAGGCTCCTGTTTGTTTAGATAAATAAATTGTCAAATTGCCAATATGTCTGGTTTCTTCAAACTTCAATCATCCAGTACACGAAAGGAGTCCATGGCAAATTAAGCTGCACAACCAACATACTCAGCTCTACTGCTCATCCCACAAATGCATGTTCTTTACAAATGTGGCACCAGTTAAATATAAAATTAACAGTCTTTCCAACAATATAAGATTTATGCTAAAGCATTCTTACAACAAAGAAATAATCTACCAAAAACAAATTTCTTACTTTTTGTTCAAATTTTATATAACAGCCTCCTGAAACTTGTAAGTCTTTCAAAGCAATCACACGTGTCTCTGTGGCCTCTCTCACTAGTCTCCTTCATTCACGGTCACTCATTGTGTGAAGACGTCCTGCTTTGGTATACCTATTTATACATGTCTCATAGATGGTAAAACAACTTCTGAGGTTGTTTAAGGCACTAGAAATCATTTTGTATCCAATCCTGTTCTGATTCCACCAACAGATCAGCAACTTCAGGACTCACTACAACTTTCTTTGAGCTTTGCAACAATTATCCATCCATCCATCCATTTTCTTCCGCCTATCCGGGGTCGGGTCGCGGGGGCAGCAGCTTCAGAAGGGAGGCCCAGACCTCCCTCTCCCCAGCCACTTCTTCCAGCTCCTCCGGGGGAACCCCAAGGCGTTCCCAGGCCAGCCGAGAGACATAGTCCCTCCAGCGTGTCCTGGGTCTTCCTCGGGGCCTCCTCCCGGTGGGACGTGCCCGGAATACCTCACCAGGGAGGCGTCCAGGAGGCATCCTTACCAGATGCCCGAGCCACCTCAACTGGCTCCTCTCGACGTGGAGGAGCAGCGGCTCTACTCTGAGTCCCTCCCGGATGACTGAGCTTCTCACCCTATCTCTAAGGGAGAGCCCAGCMACCCTGCGGAGGAAACCCATTTCGGCCGCTTGTATCCGGGACCTCGTTCTTTCGGTCATGACCCAAAGCTCATGACCATAGATGAGGGTAGGAACGTAGATCGACCGGTAAATCGAGAGCTTCGCTTTCTGAGTCAGCTCTCTCTTCACCACGACGGACCGGTACAGCGCCCGCTTTACAGCAGACGCTGCGCCAATCCGCCTGTCGATCTCCCGCTCCGTTCTTCCCCCATTCGTGAACAAGATCCCCAGATACTTAAACTCCTCCACTTGAGACAGGGCGACCCCCCTGACCCGGAGAAGGCACTCTGCCCTTTTCCGGCTCAAGACCATGGCCTCGGATTTGGAGGCACTGAGCTTCATCCCGGCCGCTTCGCACTCGGCCGCGAACCGCTCCAGCGAGAGCTGCAGATCTCGTTCCGATGAAGCCAACAGGACCACATCATCCGCAAAAAGCAGAGATGCGATCCTAAGACCACCAAAACGGATCCCCTCAACACCTCGGCTGCGCCTAGAAATTCTGTCCATGAAAGTAATGAACAGAATCGGTGACTTTGCAACAATTATTTGGTGCTAAAATTTATATTCACCAATTTCAGCTTTCAGTTTTATTTATTTATTTTTGTATTATTTTATTTTATTTTATTTACATTAAATTTAATCTAGGCTTTCAGGGCTACTTGGTTGATTTTAACAGTTTGTACATCAAGTTGTTTGGATAAATATTATTTACGCTGGCTTGAAATCTCACAAATAACAACATAATTATTGGTAAATAGAGGTTTCATACGAATTTTCATGCGTTTTTCATTTAATCAAAGGAAGTACATGAAAACCACGGACCTTTATTCTGAAGAGTTTGATCCGGAAGTGGAAATGATTCGCCGCTGGTGGGATGAGCACAGCAGACAAAATTGGCTTGTAATGTAATGATCTTGTACTATTTTTATCATTGAAAAGACCTGTCGGTTCTATTAGTTTCCATGGATAATATGCACGGTTGTGCACGTATCTTTTCACCGGATGTCATTTTTGGAGGTGAGTCCTTGTCGTAAGTACTTTGAGAATATGAGAGAGCGGCTAAACCACAGCCAGCCTGTGTTCAGGTTAGCTTCAGTGTTCTTACGAGCTAGCAAACAAGAAGGAACAGCTAATGCTCTGTGTAGTCTACTTATTTGAAAGTAGAAATGGGAACTGTGATTATTGTCGCTTCTTTTAGCTGTGGAAGGCAAACTGAGCTAACGCTGAGCAGATTGCAAGGTTATGGTTAGCTAAGAGGCTAGCGTTGCTTCGTGAAGGTAATAATTTGAAAAGTACTACAAGTGAACACGTCTTTCATTGAAGGTAAACGGATATGAATGGGTTTATATAAAACTGTGTTCGAAGGGGCAACAAAGTTGTCACGAAGCTCGTTATCACCCGAAGTTTGCGTGATGTTCCGTAAAACAATAATAACAATAACTGCTGTACAGACTTGACAGTAACTTAGCCCCAGTTAATCTGTTTACAGTGGTAATATTATAGCTGACCAGCCGTGTGTTTGCCGTGGACACATCTTTTTTCCTCCACGACTAAAAATGCATCACGGGACGTGGTTGTTTTGGCCATTGTCAACGTCCCTGTGCACAGTGTAAACATAAAATACATGTAAACTTCAGCTTATAAAATATGACTTGTCTTATTAGTGTCAGGTCTGCAAATGCAAAGTTAAAATATTTAAGTTATTTAAAGCTTGTATAAATACTCAATTAAGAAAGGGTTTGTTTCTTTTCTAAATTCAACACTTCTTCCAACATGGTGACTAAAAGCTGCTAAAGAAGAGACAATAACAGAAACATCTCCTGTTGTTCAGTAACAGTGTTTCCCAAAGTTGGTGTCGGGACCCAAAGTGGGGTCCCGAAACATCAAGGTGGGGTCCTGAAAAGATTTTCTGAATTAATTACATTTTTGCCTTAGTTGTTACAAAGGAGTGATGTTAGTATATTTAAAATGGATAAATGTAGTATAAAAATATTGTTAGTATGCCCATGTTTAGTTGACC